GACGTATCTGAAAGAATTTTGAGATGGGTCATCTGAATCCGTATACCATTTCAACGTTAGTTTTGGTCAGTTCTGTCGTGTTGGACTTCGCTTTTTTGGACGCTGGCCATTTCTGGTCTTTTTGTACCAACGTGTGAAAAAGAGATGATGTAGTGTAGCGTTGATGAAATAATTCTTGTTTAAAGGAGAATATTGTATCGATGAGAGTAATCAACTTTCTCTCAGCTTTGTATCAGGCCGAAATGCAGGCTTCAGATATAGCACCTTTCTTTAGTCCTGTTTCGTCGGCCCATCTCATTTTCATGACACTTTTCTCCAATCCCGAAATTTCTTGGATAACTCTCAAAACACTGATGACAAGTCTTTTCTTTAAAAATATTCTTTAAATTAAGCAGATGACAACAACCTTAAAGAGGACTGATGTGATCAATATTTTTAAAGCTTATATCAGAGGCTTAATATCTGAAAAAAGACAATCATAAAGGTGAGATATGCAGGCAAAAAACAGGTAATAGAAACTGTTATATCTGGTGCAGACTCCGGCTTATGATTAAGTTGACAAAGACAAGAATATGAAAATGGCTACCTTGACCAAAACAATCTTTGAAATGATGATATCTTTCTTCAAAGATGCTAAACAAGTCATGGCGATGACAATGACGAAGGGTGTAAATAATCGTCAGTGTTCTTTCAAGTTATATCAGAGACTAAATGCTTGTAAGACGAAGGATCGTGGAACGCCTCCAGCTGATTGCTTTACACCAACAGCTTACTGCACCTCCGCTTTGCTTCTAGACGCCTAGGGCACCCTTTAAGCAGGCCGCGGCTCGACGGTATGCGAGCACCTGCACTGCATGGGACACAGGGCCGCATCTGGAACATAAGACGAACGAAAGTGTGGCCGGGTCCTGCTTAAACGGTCCTCCCTCCTAGGCGTCTAGAAGCAAGGAGGCGGTGTAATCAGCTGCTGTGTAGTGAGAAATTGATTTTTCTTTCTTTACACTGTGTATTTTCGCCGTTTCAATCCGGAATCAATATTTTTAATGTAAAATGATGCTTGATTCGTCGATATACCGTAGGTGCTTGCACAAATGCCATGCATCCATAGTTTGCTCAAATGGCCCCTTAAGCGTCCAGGAACAGTCGGACGGCGCGCAACACGTTTTGCAGCAATGTTGTGAGAAGCTGTGCGCATGTGTTACGTTATGCTGCTTGCTTTCACGTGTTAAACCAATGCTTTCAGTGCTGACCGTAGGTGTTTACATCGAGTCTGGGTGTAGAACATAGTACCTAATTTATGGTATATTTAAGTAGATTTACTCCCCGACCCCCCTGCTACTGGATGAAGGTGGATAATCATGAGCAATGGCAACACGACGTGGATATCGGAGTCACTCGCCGTATCGCGTCGTCACAT